TTTGCAGAACTGCACAAATGGAGAGGGGAGAACTGATCCTTGCATTTTGATTTGAAGTACTTGTAACCTGAAACATGACTGTGAAGCTTCTAATCTAATATGGTTTTATGCTGCAGGCTCAGACTTGTCTTTTAAATCACAGCCTGATGGTCAGAAATGCTCTCCTCCAGTGTGCCAAGGTTTCATGCTGAGTGTCCTGCTCACCTGGCGCTTGCCCGTGGGACGTGCTGGGTGATGTGCTAACCCCTTCAGCTGTCTCCTACCACACTGCACCACCCATCTGCAGCCCCTGTCTTCATCTGCCTCTGAAGTGAGCCCCTGATTGCCTGTGACCTCTTTACAGCACACCAGCAAAATTTAAGACAGGTGAGGACCTTGTCTTAGCTATTTATGGCTTAAGTGGGAGAAAGATGTGAGAATTTTCTTTTCTGAATGTCAGTTGTCCCAAATGGCTGCAGATGTGTAAATAGATGTAAGTGTTCCACTTCCTCAAGAATCTGTTTTCTTCCATGGATTTGGCTTTCTCATTGCAGAGCAGTCATTGACTTCTCCGTGCCTTTGGAGAAAGTTAGATTTCCAGCTTCTAGGGAAGTTATAAATCTTGGCAACGTATCACAGTATTTTGAGAAAGATAAAAATCTGTTCTTTCCACAGGCAATTTTCTGTAACCCATCAGTTCTGCACTTTATTGAATAACTTGGTACCAAAAGCCAACGTGCAGTTATTTTAAAACATTACTCTTAAATGGGGACCTTAAAGCCCTTCAAAGCCACAGGTGAAGTACAGTGCCCTCTTTTTCGCCTAAAATAATTAGAAATATATATGGGAAAAGCTTGATTCTGAGTATATGTCAGATACCACCTAATTTCTCCCATGAAGAAATTCCTTTTCTTTCTTGTTAATCCATCTTATGCTTCAGTGTGAGGTATATCTCTTTAACCCTTTGCTGTCTTAGGCCATTGCAACTTTTATGGGCTTATTTGAAGAACAACGTATCAGTAAGATACCAACACTGTAACATACCTTTAATTAGACATATATGGGACATGGACTTGCTCAGCACCATATACCCTCTGCGCTGTTTAGTACTCAAATGGTTAAAATTACTAAAAGGAGCTGGCAAGCTTCATGTGGCAAATTCACTGGAAATATATTTATTTTTACTGCGGTACCAAGTCCACATAAAATGTCTTCAGAGAATCTGCTTGTGAAAACCTGGATTAATAATGGAGAAAAATAAAACAAGAGTGATAGTATTAATGAGTCTGGTTAGAGCACAATGACTTTGAATTGGATAAATACTGCTTCATGAAAACAGACTTTCAAACCATCACAGGCTTATGCAGAATATTAGTAAAACATTTATTGCAAATTAAAATGCAATAGAAATCAAACTGGCACATTTTTCAAGTTCCATTTTTGACTCAAGACTTCTCTAGATCTTTCAGGGAAGAAACTGAGGTGGCAACCAGCCTGAGCACACTGCAGCCCAGCAAACAGGAACCATAGAATCATAGAACAGGTTGGATTATAAGTGACCTTAAAAGGTCATCTAGTCCAACCCCCCTGCAATGAGCAAGGATGACTTCAGCTGACTCAAGTTGCCCAGAACCACATCCAGCCTGGCCTTGAATGTCTCCAGGGATGGCGCATCCGCCACCTGTCTGGGCAGACTGTGCCACTATTTTACCACCCCCACTGTAAAGAATTTCTTCCTCACATCCATCCTGAATCTCCCCTTGTTTTGTTTAAAACCATTACCCCTCACCCTATCACAACAACGCACCCACCTCACCCTGCCTTGGCTCCTGCACTGCCATTTCCCACCTTGATTTTTGCATGAGAAAATAAGCTTCTGAGCATCCCTGAGGCACAGGAAGCATGGGGGTGCCTGTGACGGTGCTGCCTTCTACTCCCCTCCTCACAGGACTCTCCTCCTTCTCCAGTGATGGAAAAACCCTGCTGCAAAGCTCAGAAACCAGACAAATACTGCTATGGGATCACCAAACCCCAATGGCCTCATTCAGTCACTCAGCTGTGATTCTCCAGCCCATGGTGTCCTGTTGCACAGTGCCACTAAGCCCTGGGGCACCATGGCCTCCGAGCAGATTCCTGCCGATGGCATGAACAGCCTCAGTCACTGCTTACAGAGTTTGCTCTGCTCTGCCAGTTTTATCTGCAGGCTTTCTGCAGTCACAGATTGGTTTGCTCAATTTTATAGCCATTGTCTGCCAATCAGGGACCATGTTTTTTTAGCTGTTTCTGATAGTCAAATGTGGTCCTCCTTCTCAGCTCTAGGAGCTAAATGTCACCCTTAATTGTGGCAGATATTAATGTAATAGGAACAGATCATAATCATCTCAGGGTCTTCCTCATGTGATCAGGGACTGTTATGCAGCAGGCTCATCTGATTCCCCCTTTCTCTAGTGCACTTGCAGCAAAAGCACAGACCTGCTTGCTTGTGGATGTACCCCACTATGCCCTCACAAGCTTTACCATCTCTCAACTTGAGTGAGATAAAAAAGCGCAAACAAACGAAGTAAGCTATCAGCAGGACATCACAGTCAGCCCAGTCCACTGGCTGCCTTTTATTTGCCTCATCAGAGATGTAATGGTTGTGTACGATCTTATATGAGCACAGGGGGAAGGGTGAGGAGTGCAGGATTTTGTGTGCTGATGCAGTGCTCTTACAGAAACCCTAGGGTTTTCAAATGAGAAAGTGCTTAGAGGCAGTTTATGTAGCCAAAAATGAGGTGGTAAATGATTGTACTGGGGCCAATATGGGGGCAAGTTGGCGTGCCTATTTATAGGGTTGCAGAGCTGTCAAGCTATTTGATACATCTGTGGTTCTGTGTGGGAAAGCCCGTGACAGGTTTGGGTGAAAACGTGAAGCTCTTAAGGATTTTAATATGATTTGTACTGCCATTTAATTTTTAATAAAACTTTGAATAAAGTCATGATTAAATGGCCATCATGAGTGGAAGATTCCACTTAAACATAAAATGTGAGATTTCCCAGAATGGGCTAAGGTAGGTTTTATATTATGCACCTCTCTCTAAAATACATTGGATAATGGATTCTATCAAAACGGAAAAGAAAGGAAGGTATAGATTTTTAAAAAATAAAATCTGCTGTGCAGTCAGTAGTTCCACATTTTGGAAGAAATTGCTGAGCTTCTGGCATCCTTAAATAATACCCTTTTCACATGATAGTTACACTGCTCCAAAGACAGTATAATAAACCATGCCAAAAATTCTTCTGTTTCGTTTGCATGAAATTGAACTGACAGATATACCTGTCTATGTTATGTCCAAGAAAATGTCTTGTTAGAAATGTGTGAAAATATATTACATGACAGATGCTGAAAATGTTTCAGATACAGCAATAAATTGATTGTGGTTTCTGGACCAGATGTGAACTTGGTTTAAAATTCATCATGCTGGTCTCTATTTTAGCTCTGCACTTAAATAAATGCAGAGAAGTGGCTTTGCTTTTCAATGAAACCCATTATAAGAATAGAAGAGCTTCTTTCCATCTAATAAAGGATAGCCCTGACAGTAAGGCTTGCATCTGCAGAGCAAGTATTAAAAGCACAAATTGAACTAGGAGGAAGCTGTGCCAGTTCTCAGGTTTTGTTTTATTAATGTGCATGCAAACGCTTAGCATGTCAAAGCCACTGCAAACAAGAAGACTGTGATGTGCATTATTTTCAGTTTAGATTGAGATTCACAGCCATAAGGAAACCAAGGAGGGAAAAGAATAGTGTTTTTCAAGAAACAGTGCTGTTAAATGGGAATGAGCCAGTTGCAAAGGTGCTACAGACATGACTGGGTGCTGAGAATCAGTATGCTTTGCAAACCTTGCATTTCAAAGCCATGTGCTCCCTTTCGTTGCAAGGGAGCAGGGTGAGAGCCAGACTCACTTTTTGGCATATAGCTCAGGAGCTGCACTACCCAGCTGGGCAATCCAGACTGCTGAAGTCAGGTGCTTAGGCTGCCCCTTCAATCCACAGGCACCTCTGAAAACAAGCCCAGAAAGACCGATGTGCCGAGACTGGAAAAAGGGAAGAGGAAACAGGGAGCAAATGGGTGTTTCTGAGCATTTCCAGCCACCCTGCAGCTCTGGCACCTGGCTCTAAGTGGCATGATTGAGACCTCCTGCTCTAACTCCACACCTCTGAATCCTCTTCTGCTATGGAGATAGCACGTACCTTTTTCTCCAGAGCTGAGGGATCAGAGCTTGCCCATTCTTTTGTGTTAGTGCCCTGGCCGGAGAAGTAAGACCCCAGGGGAAAGGAGAGCCTGCTTGCTCCCCTCCTCTGCAAGTGCCTGGTAGGGGATGGATTTTTTTGCTTGGGTCTGGCTCCTCCTTGGTCCATGACATTATTTCAGTTTAAGCCTCTTGTGGTCTATCAGGAGAGCTGTGTATCTTTGCAGTGACAAGTGCTATGAACATAATGTAGGTTTTATGACTGCTCCTCTAGGTCCACTAATTGCAGTCAAGAGGTTTTTTACCATTCACTCACAAACTATGACTTTCTCTCCCCTTCTTTCTCTAAAGGGAAAACAATTCATTTATTCCCCTACACCAAAGGAACATCCACAAGGAAGGGAGAAATAACACCTATGGGTATTTTCCAATATGTTTGTCCTCTCTTTTAAAGGGTATTTGAGGCTGTCATTTGATACACTATTAAAGATGTATGAAGTCCTTTCTGATGTCAGATGAAGGCTTTCTTAAAGTAAAGCAGCTCTTAATACATGCTACGTCTAGCCCTCATTAGCACAATACCCTATATTAGAGAAATATTTATGCTCATAGGACACCATCAGTATTGATTATATGTGAATTTTACTACTGTCCACTTTCGTTTTGCCTTTAGAGATTTACATTGAAAAGTATTCCCCAAATGATGTAAAACCTGATATTTCAAAAGTTCTCCAATTGTGATAGACTGGGTCAGAACTGTTTAATTTACATAGAAATTTCTTTTCTGATAGGTATCTGCAAGCCCTTTACATAATCACAACCACCCTTTTATCCTCCAGTGACTTCTACTTGTCTGAACTGCCTGTACATAAACACTCCTAATACCGCACTGCCTCTTTGTTAAGTATGTGCATGGTACCCAGCAAAAACCCCAGACTGCCATGGATGTAGCTTCTGTCCTTTCTGTAACTTGTAATCATACTGCAAGCCAGAATCCCTGATTAAATTACAGTTGTTATGTGGGTTGGACTGGAGAGTTTTCTGAGTTTTCTGCTTGTTAAATACACTGTTAACGCTGTCAGTTTTACTTTGTTGAATCTTGTCATAGGCTTAAAACCTTTGAAGGTTATATAGCTGAAAGTATTGATAAATTTATTTATTTATATGTAAATATATATTTATATGTATATATAAGTAATACGTTTTATGTATAATATATATGTAAGCTAAATATACATATTCAGCCTACAACCATGAAAAGTTATTGGCTGAAAATATTAGTTAAAATTAATATTTTTGCAGTTGTTATACTTGACTTGGGGTATGGGAATCTTTAAAGTTCTTGTGCCCTGTCTTGTCTCTGAAATTGCCTTTTATTTTATTTATTTATTTACTTATTTATTTTTTTTATTTTAACACAGCAGCCAACAAATACACAGAAGTTAAATAGGAAAATAGCAGCTTCTCAGATGTTCACAAAAGCCAAGAGTTGGGTCTTTAGGAATAGCAATGCATACTGCAAACCTCATGTTTGAATCATGTTATTTGGCAAATTCTTTTTCATAGTTATGAATAGATAATAATCCCATCCACAAAACCCACTACTGCCCAGAATAGGATTTAAGTCATGATTGATCAAATGTAAGGCCAAGAAACCCGGCCATCTTCTGATTTAACAAAAACAACTTTTTCAAAATCAAGACTGAAATCTGCCTCTTAAACAGTCCTCTACACATCCTGCTTTATCCAAACAGTCCCGAAGAGGGCTAGTTGTAATGGAAATGCTGACACAAGCTTAGCTGTAGTGATGCTGTAAGACACTGTTATGCTAATATAAGCATTACACTCTAAGAAAACACACTGAGTTAGTGATACATATCTTGAAGAAAATTGCCATGAGAACAGAGGTCATATGCCACATGGATGCCAGTGTTTCTAAGTGAGGTACATGTATGGACCTTCACAATGACACACATTTTACCACCTTTTACTAAAAATAGGCACGCAATGAAAAATAACCATTAACTTGTTACTGGGTTCTCTTTGGCTTGGCAAAGCTTGCTGTTCTTCTTTTCTTTGCAAACACTGCTCATTTTCTCTTGGATGTGATAATGTTTGCTATCAGCAACACAGATGGGCACAAACTGCTCAGAGGGACAGGGAATCCCCTGCAGCCCGGCTGTGTTTTTGTAATTTAGGAAAGCCACTTCTGTGCCTCTACCAATATTATGTTAAAGGGCTTCTGGTTGCTGCCCAGGGTGTGAGGATGTTGAACACTAAACTTGGATCTGTGGCATTCTGTCCAAAGGGAAATCTGACTGTTTCTCTGCCTTCTCTTGATGCTTAACAATTTCCTTACAGCACATGTCAAAGTGTCTTTTTGCACTCATCTTAGTGTGGGCTAAAGAAAAATGCAGATGTTGCCCTTTGCTGTACTGTACTGGTGCCTTCAGCAGGATGCTTCACTATCTTCGTTGCTTTTTTTTAACTCTTTATTTTAGAAAGACTGTCTTTTTCTTCCAAGTTTCTTGTATCTGTCCTTTGGAGAGTAATGCAAGGGTTTACTCAACCCCAGCATCATACACAACAACCCCAAAATGCTATTCCTGATTAGATGCTGCTGCTTAGTACCCTGTGGAGCTGGGCTACAGTGAGGCTTAACTTCTCACAGTCTTCCCAGTCTTCAACCAGCCTCATACCAAACACGATCAAGATATTTCAAGCATGTGGAGCACTGGGCCAAAGCCTGGGACTTTGGGATGGACAGTCTCCTTCCAGTTGTAGTTGAAGTTTTAAAAAAATCAATATGAAATCAGATATTGCATTCACAAGATTGCAGTCATCCTCGAATGAATCATGAAGCCATGGGCTGGAAGCTGTGTATTCATTGGGGCATTCCTGAAACTTGTAGCAATATCCTAAAGCTCTCATGCAATGACAAAGTCTATAGGGCATGCTCAGAAAGTATGAGGCAGCCAGGTAAGGTTTGCAGTTGTGTCTGAATGGCTCTGAACCCACACCTCCAGCCCTCATGAACCTATTCACCATTGTATAACCTCTTGGTCTCTCCTGGGGACCGGCTGGCTTTGACAAATGGGTCATGCCCAGAAAGACCCGAGGAAGGTTTCTGAGGCTCTTGAGAAATGGATGGAGTAAGTGGGGATCAAATCCTTTCAGAAAAAAGGGGAAACATAAGGAAACTTGGATAATTCATGTCCTGGACTCCTTGACTGCTGCTCTGTGGGACAGAGAAATGATAAGACCTGTCTGTCCTTTTGTTCCTTCTACTTTTCATTCCAGGGACTGAAAATTAAACAATGAGATATGAAACAAAAATGAGGGACAATTTTCAGTTCCCCCACCATCCTTTTATGTCTCAGAAAAATGATTTAGATTGATTTGAGCTGACGTTTTTAAAACCTTTTACTGGTTCAGCAGCCAAGCCTAAATGTTGGCCACTTGCACCGCTCTTGCTCCTTGAGCGAGAGTGCTTCCTGGGGACTGGCTGACGGCAGCCCTGCATGAGCCTTGCCAAGAGCACCAGCAGTAGGCCTCTCTAGAACAGATTGAATTCTTGACCTCTGAATATGCTATTTCTAGACACATTGGTGTCCTCTCCTTAAATTAAAGCAAAAGCAAACATGGATTTTTATAGAAAGGGCAAGTTGCTGATATTTGCTTACATGGAGGTAATCATAGGATCACAGGATGCTTTGGGTTGGAAGGGACCTTAAAGCTCATCTAGTTCCAACCCGTCTGCCATGAGCAGGGACACCTTCCACTGGACCAGGTTGCTCCAAGCCCCATCTAACCTGGCCTTGAGCACTCCCAGGGTTGAGGCAGTCACAATTTCTCTGGGCAACCTGTGCCAGGGCCTCACCACCCTCACAGGGAAGAATTTTTTCCTAATATCTAATCTAAACCTACCTTTTTTTCAGTTTAAAGCCATTCCCCATGTCCTGTCATTACATGATCTGGTAAAAAGTCCCTTTCCAGGTTTCTTGTGGGCCCCCTTTAGGCACTGGAAGGCTACTGTAACATTTCCCCAGAAGTAATGGGACACAAGCTGCCAGTTTGTGGCTGTTTTTATGGTTTTGGAGGCTGCCTGAAGCATTGCAGGAGAAGGTCCGTATAGCTCACCCCAGGGCCTGAGATGTACCATGACATACTGGTGTAAAACCTGCCCAGGGCACAGGTCTCATCACCAGGGCATCCCAGCCCAGTGCAGCTGGTTTTGGACAAGGTGAGCTACCTCTGTCGCATGAGGCTCCCTCCTCCCTCCTCGGGAGCATGCAGAACAGCAGGCAAGGTGACAATGTCTCAGGTAGGGTCACAGTTTTTCCAGTTTCTGTTTTCTTTCATCAACATTGCTTTGGGATTTTATTAACAAAAAAGGAGCAAAAAAAATGTGTACTTTCTTATGGAGCTACTGATAATGAGGTTTATCAAGCTCCTTAGTTTTTTGGGGAGTCTGTTGCACACTTTCAGGATCTGCCTGTAGGAAACCTCTGAGCCCAGATGGGTTTTTGATCTGTTGTGAGTAGTTTTAATATGTCAGGAGTGCACTTGTCAACCACCCTTCCTCCTACAGCTTTAGGTGAACTTTTAGATGACAGAGTCTGTGACTGCTAGCTTCCTTGAAGACAAAACCTGAGACTGTGAAATTTAACCTTCTGGGAGGGCAAAGTTGAAGATGAAGAAATGATTTAATATAGTTTGATAATGACTGCCATTGAGGAAGATTTTACTCACTGTTTTGAGTGGAGTTTTGTAAGGGCTGACAGCTTCATGTCTGTGTGGATTGCTTTGCTGAGGTCTTGCTACAAAATGATGAAGGAACGAGTAACCTGTGCCAAAACACTGTTAGCCAGGATGTCCTGGGTAAACAGAGATTTTTAGAAAGTGTTATTTATAAAAGTTGGCAAGTGGAACCATTGCATCAGTGAGGAATTCAACAACGCTGTTAAATTACCAGAGTGAATTGACTAGTTGTGCATGTGGGCATATCTTCAACTAAACGATGCTAGGCGGGGCTGCAAACTCTCCAAAGTACTGTTATTTTCAAGCTAAACCTCAGATAACCTCCAGTCCTTTAAAAATATCTGTTGCTGAAAATAAGTCCTCAGATAACCTTCATCCTTGGATAACCCACATAAAATCAAAGGCAAGGAACTAATAGGAGAAAGAGGACTTTGAAAAAAACTTGTTCTCATATTGCCCACACATGTGAGCAACACACTGCTGCTGACTAGCTGCTGTTTTTACATATAACCCATGTGCTATATGCATCCAAAAAGGGTGCTTTCCTTTGCTTAGCAGCATGATCACTGTCTTGCTCATTTAGTCAGGGGCACCCTTGGTTGTCTGATTAGCCATGGAACAGTAGATGCTGCTGGCGCTCATGTTCTTTCTGTTGGCTTCATAATCTGGGTCATACTCACCTGGGTAGGGCCCAAACCATCTTTTGGCAGACCTAGACAAGATGGGAATACAGGCTGAATGGGTCTCAGAAAGGTGCCCTCAGGTAGTCTGAGACCTTAAGATAGGATTTCTGTGACAGCTACACAGAACAGATGTTTCCTAGCTGACAATCACGGAACAGATGTTTCCTAGATGACAGTGGAGTTTTAAAAGTTAGGTTTGGAGTGACTTCTGCTATGTCAGGACATGTGAAAAGGGCACATTTCACTGAAAAAACCCTCCCAAAACAACAAACCCAACCAACAAACCAAAATCCCTCAAAACCCCAAGAAGAGACCAATTTCTGTGATATCTCAGCACCCTTGAGCACTGAGTCTTCAGCTGTGGCCAAACTGCAGAGCAAGGTAAGGAAGAAACCAACCAGTCAGAAAACACGAAGCCAGATGCACACTAGGGTAAAAATCCAATACTTCCTGGTTCTTGCAAGTGAGCTGCTGAAGCCCCAAACCATACAATTAGATTATAGTCATGGAGTGTTTGATAGCCCTTGATGA